CACGGTGAGGACAGGGTTTCTCACGCTGAGAACAAGGTACCTCACGCTGAGGACAAGGTTCTTCACGCTGAGGACAAGGTTCCTCACGCTGAGGACAAGGTTTCTCACGCTGAGGACAAGGTTCCTCACGCTGAGGACAAGGTTCCTCACGCTGAGGACAAGGTTCCTCACGCTGAGGACAAGGTTCCTCACGCTGAGGACAAGGTTCCTCACGCTGAGGACAAGGTTCCTCACGCTGAGGACAAGGTTCCCCACGCTGAGGACAAGGTTCCTCACGCTGAGGACAAGGTTCCTCACGCTGAGGACAAGGTTCCTCACGCTGAGGAAAAGGTTCCTCACGCTGACGACAAGGTTCGCCACGCTGACGACAAGGTTCCTCACGCTGAGGACAAGGTTCCCCACGCTGAGGACAAGGTTCCTCACGCTGAGGACAAGGTTCCTCACGCTGAGGACAAGGTTCCTCACGCTGAGGACAAGGTTCCTCACGCTGAGGACAAGGTTCCTCACGCTGAGGACAAGGTTCCTCACGCTGAGGACAAGGTTCCTCACGCTGAGGACAAGGTTCCCCACGCTGAGGACAAGGTTCCCCACGCTGAGGACAAGGTTCCTCACGCTGAGGACAAGGTTCCTCACGCTGAGGACAAGGTTCCTCACGTTGAGGACAAGATTCCTCACGCTGAGGACAAGGTTCCCCACGCTGAGAACAAGGTTCCCCACGCTGAGAACAAGGTTCCTCACGCTGAGGACAAGATTCCTCCCGCTGAGGACAAGGTTCCTCACGCTGTATTCGGGTTTTTCCCTTTCGCTGTTAATTGACTGCTGCGATTCCGATTGCAAGTTCGAATTTAGGCCTTTGTGTGTATTATTTTTATTCTGCTGTTTTGGGAAAACACGGCATCATCATTTGTAAGGTCAATGTGATTATTCTTCAAATCGTCGGCATTGCATTGGCTGTTGTCATTATGCCGAATAAGGCTATTGTCATGAGAGGTTTTTAGAGATGGATCGTATCTAATACGGCTATATTGTCATGAGAGGTTTTTGGGGACAGATCATATCTAGGTTTATTCCCTTCTATGTTGGTTGACTGCTGCGATTCCGAATTGCAAGTTCGAATTTATGCCTTTGTGCGTATTATTTTCATTCTGCTGTTTTGGGGAAAACACAGCATCATCATTTGCAAGGTCAATTTGATTATTATTCAAATCATCGGCATTGCATTGTCCGTTGTTATTATGCCGAGCAAGACTATTGTCATGAGTAATTGAGCTGAGGTTACTTTTGTTAGATTGTTCACTGAATTAGTAAATTATTTAACAAATAAGACTGTCGCGCTACACTATTGGACGCTTTTATCGATATAAACGCTTCGTCCCGGCAGGAAGCGAAATGAATGATATGAGCATTTACTTCGATTCTCATTATTAAGCAGTCTAATTTATTTATTTTATTTATTTATTATTTATTTATTTATTAAACTTTGCCAAAAACACTTAACAGAACAGCAAATAGACATCTACACAATAAACATGGACAAAAATGGCAGGGACACCACAACAGTGTAAACCAATTACTGTGGGCCCTATACAAAAATACACATACAGTACAGAATATATAACATGCAGTACATGTACAGGAGACTAAAAACAACAAGTTAGTTCAGAACGTAAGTAACGACTAGTGTTACACTTCAGACAAATAGTCTTCCATGTCCTCGGATCTTCTTCGTCGAAGCATTCTCTCAGGGCTGCCAGGTAGTAAGTTTGTAAATCGGTTTTGAATTGCCTAATATTAATGTCAGGAGATCTTAGTGTAGTTGGTAAAGAGTTCCAAGTTCTGGATGCACGAGTAAAGAAGGAGCGTTGGTACAAGTGATTGATACAAGTGAGTGATAACGATTTGTAGTTGGACAGCGTCTCTTTATAATACTTCAAATTCAATATATTTACTTGTTTGTTATTTTATCGATTTACAACTTTGTCGCCGTGTTGTTCAACGCAGGATATTAAATGTACAGTCAAATTCCTCGTTAAACCGGTTTTTCCAATTACCATGAGATCGCAATTTCCCAATTTGGGTCAGCCAAAAAATAGTTATATGATAATTTTTTCATATCTGATAATTAGTACCGTATCTTTCATTGATAATATGGACTTGTATAGACATCTTGTATTTGTATACTATTGTTTAATTTCACATTAGTTACATTATTTGATCAGAAAATGAAATTTATTTTCACTGCAGTTAATAAAAATATTATATAGATATTTCTACTAACTATGAATTTAAAATTAACTTACTTTGAAATATAAAGTTTGTTCGTTCACTGCAACCAGGTATATCAATCATGTTTCGCTCGCTACTCTGGTTTAAATAAATGATTACAAAGCCCAGTCGAATTGTAATCAAGACCCAATGTTTCGACACTCCAGTCTAGTGTCTTCATCAGGGGTGATCTAAAACTGCGATCGTGGCTTCTTAAATACCCAAGAGATGACGTCACCTGCCAAGAAGATGCATATATTTCTCTGGCAAATAGGCGCCGTCATCCCTATTCAAAGCATGATGACTCATATTTATATGCCACGCTTCTAGGCAAAGTCTTTGACCATAGCGATTGTTTGTGGTAATTACTTTAGAGTTTTCCCACGCCATCTCGTGTTTGGCTAAAGCTGATTTTCCCTTGTCTAAAGTTGAAACAGCCTTTTGATGTTCTTTTAGCCGTGTACCAAACTGGCGTTTAGACTGACCCAAATACTCTTTGTCGCAGTCACCGCATGGTATAGAATATATAGCATGAGTCTTCTGATTTTTTCAACAGGATCTTTTGGCTTTGCGAAAATATGGCCTAAAGTCAAATAGGGTTTTAAGGCAACCTTAATATTACAATTACTTAAGATTCTCTTGATTGGTTCTGTGACACCTTGAATGTATGGAACTATTGCAAAACCCTATAACAACTATCTTATGCAATGGTGTTTAAATCAAATAGAATAACCTTCAATAAAATGCTCAATAAAGTTTTTGGATATCTCTTCTTTCTCATTTTAACTTTCTGGTTATCAATAAGATCAAAACCATCAGAAATTCAACCCAACGACAGAACATTTCCCCAGAATATGAATATCTGCAGCATTTCCCCAGAACTAGTGTCAATATCAAATCGATTGTGTTGTCTTTGGTCTTCCACGCGCGATAATACTTTACGTAAGTCTACTTTCCCTCTCATGTCTAATCACAGATATGGCCTTCAATTTAACATTGCGAATAGTAATTTGCACCTTCTCTTGTGTATTCTACTTGCTGGTGATATAGCAACTAATCCTGGACCTGCCTGCAGCTCAACATCACACAGTTGCCCTGTTCAAAATACAGCCTTACGTTGTTTGTCATTCCATGCTCGAAGTCTTAAGAGCGTAAACAAACATGAAGATGGATCTACCACAAGCAACCTGAGTATGTTTCAAGATCTTGTCTACTCAGAGAATTTTGATATTATAACTGTCACTGAAACATGGCTCAACGACACAATCTCAAATAAAGAAATACTGCCATGTGGTTACAACATAGTAAGAAGAGATCGTATGATTGAAAAACGCGGCGGTGGTGTTTTGATGGCATTACGCGAGGGTTTACAATACGACACAATTACCCCGAAAGATCAACTTAACCTCGAAATCGTTGCTGTTGAACTCAAAACTAAGAACACAAAATGCTTGTTAAGTGTTTGTTATCGTCCACCAAACGTTAATATCAAAGAATGGTTAAAATCTTTTACCTCCTTTCTGACATGTTGTGAACAATATGACAAAGTTCTTATAACTGGTGACTTTAATTTTCCTG